TTCAAGGATTGGAGCATCTCCCTTATGAGGAGAGACTGAGAGAGCTGGGACTCTTTAGTCTGGAGAAGAGAAGGCTGAGGGGAGACCTTATCAATGCCTACAAGTATCTCAAGGGAGGGTTGAAGGAGGAGGGAGCCAGACTCTTTTCAGTGGTTCCCAGTGAGAGGACGAGGGGCAACGGGCACAAGTTGGAACAGAAGAGGTTCCACTCAAATATGAGGAGAAACTTCTTCACAGTGAGGGTGGCAGAGCCCTGGAACAGGCTGCCCAGGGAGGGTGTGGAGTCCCCTTCCTTGGAGATTTTCAAGCCCCACCTGGATGCTCCTGAGTAACATGCTCTGACAAGCTCTAGGCAATCCTGCTTCAGCAGGGGAGTTGGACTAGATGATCTCTACAGTCCCTTCCAACTCTAAAAAATTCAGTGAAATTCAGTGTTTTTCAGCTTTGCAGTTACCCGAGCATCCCGCAGCTTCTGCAGACTGGGAGACGCATGCGGAGCAGGGAGCAGCCCAGGTACCACCACCAGCCCAGGCAGGGTAAGGCTGGGCTGAGCCACGCGGCGCGGGTTCAGGGATAACCGAGGAGGTGCCGCGTCACCCCTGCTGCACCGGGAGGATGCTTGGCCTCGCCGGTATCGTGGTATCATTAAGCATGTGATTATCTCCCTGTGAGTCAGTGCAGCCAGTGGCAGGCGTCCAGCTAAGTGTTCGGAGTGACAGAAGCCTTTGTGTATCGAGGAATTTGCAGGAAGAAATTCTCAAAGGTGTTTGAGGCTGTGATACGTGCTCGGGGTCGGAGCAGCCGTGGCATGAAGGTGGGGTTTGGTCCCGTGCTCAGGCCGGGAGTGGAGGACCCCGAGGTGGAAGCTGGGATCGACGCCGTCACCCCCGGCATGCCTGGGTCGCTCCCCACGGACACAGGCTGCCGGGGGGGTGTCCCTGCCTCTCTGGGGTGGCTCCAGCTGCTGCTCCGACAGGGCACGTGTCCCAGGGGCCCCGTGTCACAGCTGCCAGCCCCGCACGGGTGACTCGGGTGCTCGAGGACCTCTCTGACAGCGCCTCGCCGTGGTCCCAGGTGTCCCAGTGGGTCACTGGGCGGGCTGGCTGACAGCCCCACCGCGTTTTCCTCTGTTACAAAGTGAGATAACTTGACTTACTTTGCACCGGGTGTTGCGAGTATAAATTCGATCCTCTCTGCAGAGTGATTTTCCCCTTGGAAGCGTAGGGTTTAATATCGTTAGCATTAAGTGTTCCTGCCTGTAGTTTAGCTGCGATCCTGGAGCGATTACGCCATTCTTCTTGTAGCTTGATTTGTTAATAATTCAAGAATTCTTGATAGCGGGCGCATCACTTGCCAGCGCCAGGTTGCTTTCAGGAGGAGCTGTTTATTGAGATGCCCTCGTTTGCTCTCGGGGCGTTTGCCTCATTCCTGTGAGTCAGCTCTGCTTTGTGCCTGGGGCAGTTACGGTGAAACGGTGCCTGAAAAGCCCAGCCCTTTGAGTGAATTAAATTACAATTTGCTGTTTACGGGGTAACCAGACGTAACCCCCCTCCCTGCAGCAGCACAGAAAGGAGCTCGGGGGCTCCCGCTCCTTCGGGGCTTGCCATTCCTTTTCTCTCTATCAGAGGAGACTTCAAATATCAGTTCATCGCTGCTTGGAAAATGACATTTTGTTTTCTACAGCGTGACATTATCCGTGGTGTGCAAATTCCGTGGTGAGAGCTGGGGAAAAATGCCTTGGAAAGGGGATTTAAAGGCATCTGCTCAATGCTTGCCGGGGCTGTGGGACATTTCTGTACAGTTCAGATTCTGCTCTCCTCCTCCCTTGTATTTTTCTCCTGAGCAGGGCGTTTTGCTTATTCTTTGGCAAAGGATGTGTCACCCATTTGTGGACCTGAGCCTGCTGCTTCCCCAGGAGCAGAACTGCGGAATTAAACCCGGGATTCTACCCCTCTGCTCTGCACTCGTGAGACCCCACCTGGGATACTGTGTCCAGCTCTGGAGTCCTCAGCACAGGAAGGACATGGACCGGCTGGAACAGGTGCAGCGGAGGGCCACGAAGATGATCAGAGGGATGGAGCACCTCTCCTATGAAGACAGGTTGAGGGAGATGGGATTGTTCAGCGTCGAGAAGAGAAGGCTCCGGGGAGACCTTATAGCGGCCTTTCAATATCTGAAGGGTGCCTATAGAAGAGCTGGAGAAGGACTCTTTGACAGGAGATTTAATGATAGGACAAGGGGAAACGGTTTTAAATTGGAAGAAAAAAGATTCAGATTAGACATCCAGAAGAAATTTTTTACTATGAGGGTGGCGAGACACAGGAACAGGTTGCCCAGAGAAGCTGTGGCTGCCCCATCCCTGGAGGGGTTCAAGGCCAGGCTGGATGGGGCCTTGAGCAACCTGCTCTGGTGGGAGGTGTCCCTGCCCAGGGCAGGGGGGTTGGAACTCGATGATCTTTGAGGTCCCTTCCAACTCTAACCATTCTGTGATTCTATGATTGTTACCCATGCCCCATGTTGGGGTCTGTGGCTTCTGCTGCCTCCTGGCCTGGATCTCCCCGGGCCGAGCCGAGGCAGGAGCTGCACCCAGCGATGGCTGTGGTGAGTGCTGGAGCCTGAGCCCGGGCGTGGGACCCGTCCCTCGGGTTTGGAGCGACGCAGACCCCGGTGTCATGGGAAATGCCTGTGCCAGGAGGTTAGTCCCAGCGCTCGGAGGGAAGAGAGGATCCCCATCTCTGGTGATGAAGGAAGTTTCTGAAGTCAGCAAAGAGGCGGTGATGTCTCTTAGCTTTGTTGGGAGCATTGGAAAGCATCGTGCCAACTCCTCAGCTTTCATCTGGTCCTTATTTCAAGACATATTGTGACTTAAGCGAGTTACTTTTTTATCCCTCTCTTGAGTTTGTCCCCAGGAATTTGGTATTCCCATTAATGAATGTCTGCCAGGCTTTTTATATCTTTTTTTTTTATATATCTTAAATCACCAGAAAATCCACTCTCAGGAAACTTTTTTAAAAGCCTGTTCTGTGTGGGCAATGGTTTTGGTGACACATGGCTCTGAGCAGTGTCACTACGTACGTGTGTGGCACTAGTTTTGGAGCTGCCTTTGGCTCTTATTCCCCTGAACTTTTTGGGCAGGGAGGGAGGTGAAGAGATTCGACCCATGATACCTGAATTTTGATGTGACGACTGCTCTGCAACAAAATTCCTCTCTCACTTTACATTGCTGATAGCACTATTTCTTATTTTTTTTCTCCTGAAGCTGGTATTATGATACTCAGTGACTCGTTGCTGGATATATTCTTCTGTCATATACAAAAAATTAAGATGTAACGCACTGTAGAGCTTCTTACCCTTTCTGTGTTCTGTCCTTTGAGCGTTTGCATTAATTGGGATTAAACCAGTAAGTCCCACTGGTGTGCACTGGTGAAAAACCCTGTGAAAGTATGAAGTTACAGAGGGGAGTTTGCAGGTTGTCAGTGATTTTTAACGGAGGGAAGAGACCCCAAAATGCTGTACCCAGCTCAGCTTCACCCAGAGTCCCTGCCCGGAGGAGGATGAGGAGCACTGGGACAGGAATCAGCTTTTCTGGAGCTTGCTCAGCAAAGCACCGCCTTTCATTAATTGGTTCCAGCGCTAATTGGAGGCCAGTGCTCTGTTCCCAGGTTAGGTTGGATGTTCTATAGATTCTATACCCTCCGTAAGAGGCCGGCCCTTTGGAGCTGGATCCGCTGTGCTGAGGGTGACCCTCCAGCCCCGGCAGAGCCCCTTATCTGACACACACAGCATGAATCAGAGCACGGGGCTGATTAGTCAACCGTGCTTGGGAATAAGCTCGTTAACGTTTCAAAAGGTCTTTGAGGGAGCTGTTGAAAAGTCAGTGTGATGACATCATCACGCTGGATTTCTGGGGCCCTGGGGCCGGAACACGGTCAGCTGCCAGAGGAACATAGAGATTCTCTGAGAGTATAGTTTCCATGTTTTCCACGAGAAAAATAGATAACTTGGCTTATATAAATGTGCGATGCGTTATACATTTTGTTACAGAGATGTTATATGTGCTGTGTTATGTAAAGGCTCTTAGAATGGGGTGGAAAGAGGCGTGGAAATGTACAGTGAGGAGCTCTGAGAATCAGGGCTGGATTGCTCTGGTAAATTTTGTGATGAGAGACATGACTCAGAGAAGGAAAGCGGTAAATGTGGATGTTCTGGACGTCAGTCACCGCCTCCGGACGGGGTAAGAGACTGTTTGGCCGGGGGAGAGGGGTTGTTCTCCCAAGAGCAGTGCTGTAGGTGATGGGGCACAGGGGGGAGAGCAGGGAATCACCACTCTGGAGGGCAGAAGGAACTGTGCTCTTGCTTTTCAGACCAAGCTTTTTTGATCTCTTGGTCGAAATTTTGGATATTTTGATATTTTCATTGATATTTCTTTTCCACCCACAGTTATCAGAAGGATTTGCAGGTAGTGTGGAACTGGGAGGCACTTTGTAAAGGGGGTGAAGGTTTGGGGACAGGAGCTGCTGTTACTGGTGCTACAGCCCTGCGGGACCTGGGTGTGCAGTGACCCCCCCGGAGCAAAAATGCTTTTTGGTGTGGAAATGGGAGCAGCCTTGGCCCTTTTATTAACAACGTCTCTCTTCAGCCCTCCTGCAGGCGCTGGGTCACCTCAAGCAAACTGAAGGGAAATTCAGGAGGTTTCCAATCCCGTGAAAAGGTGGGAAACCAGAAGTGCTTGTGTTGAAAATGGGTAAGAATGCCTGTTATTGAGGAGTTTTGTAGCGTGGCTGGGCAGCTGCCAGGTCACACAGCAGCACCTGCAGCCGGCCAGGGGATGGCACATGGGGGGACACGCGGCCGGGAGCCTTCCAGCAGCAGGAGACTTCGAAAGCCAGAAACGAGATGTGATTGTATGAAAAGAAAATGAGTTTATTAAATGAAATATGGGGATTGAGGTACGGATAGGTGATTTGCCTCCACGCAGAGTGTGAGCGTTACCCACCTGGCACAATCTGATGTTGTACAGGGTCTGGCTCTCTGCCCGAGGACAGCCCTCGCTGCTGCGTGTCTTGCGGTAGCGGCGCGATGCTCCTGGGCAGACTGGGACCACGGAGCTCTGTAGGTGTGAAAAGAACCACTTTTGCCCTTTGTTAGAAGTGTGTAGTGAGACAGAGCAAGCAGGAAAGCTTTACACCTTGGTTCACCCAGAACATGGTATTTCCAAGAAAACTCAGGCAGCCCTGAAGTTTCCTTCGTCAGCACGTCTGTTAGATCACTGTCCCGGAATATTTTTCCCCCGTTCTGGGGGAGGGAGGGCAGGTCACTGCTGCTCCATCATGGGAGGGGATGAGCTCAGGAGCGTGCCACGGGGCTGTGAGATGAATCAGGGAATTGTCAGAGTTGGAAGGGACCTCTAGAGCCCATCCAGTCCAACTCCCCTGCCAAAGCAGGGCTGCCCAGAGCACGTCACTCAGGAGCATCCAGGTGGGGCTTGAAGATCTCCAGAGAAGGGGACTCCACACCCTGAAGTTCTGGTTTAATCGGTGGCTCTGAAATCTGGTTTCTTGCCACCCATTGTCTTTTCTTGCTGATGAGCTGGTGGGAACAGCAGAGTTCCATAATGACCTGATTGTGTTTTTAACTAAAAAAACAAAAGTTGTGATCCTCTGCAGTGTTAGCATTTCAGGCATTTCCCATTTGTATGTGCATTTCAGTAGCCTGTAAGAAAAGAGAAGATCCTTGCTAAAAAGGAGATCCTGGAAAAATAGTAGACTTGGGTCTTTTTAGTCTGGGGAAGAGCAGACTGAGGGGGGATCTGATCAACACCTATAAATACTTCAAGGGTGGGTGTCAGGAGGACGGGGCCAGTCTTTTTTCAGTGGTGCCCAGTGACAGGACAAGAGGAAATGGGCACAAACTTGAACATGGGAAGTTCCATCTCAACATGAGGAGGAACTTCTTTCCTGTGAGGGTGGCAGAGCCCTGGCAGAGGCTGCCCAGGGAGGTGGTGGGGTCTCCTTCTCTGGAGACATTCAAACCCACCTGGACACGTTCCTGTGGGACCTGCTCTGGGTGGCCCTGCTCTGGCAGGGGGTTGGACTGGATGGTCTCCAGAGGTCCCTTCCAACCCCGTATCATTCTGTGATTCCACAGCAGTAGCCAGTGCAGAGGTAAGGAGAGATGGTTCCACAGAGGGCTGTGACCCGCAGTGCCACGGTGCTGCCGGTGTCCTGAGAGGAGAGCCGAGACCTCGGGAGACTTCAGAGCTAATTAAATTAATGGCTGGTTTGTAGTTATGAATTTAAATTCTTAAGAAATATTAGGAAGAGGAGGAAAAGAGGAAAATGGAAATGCCGATTTAACGCAGCCATCTCTGATCCCTGGGTCCTGCAGTTTAACAGAAGCTAACGAGGGCTTAATGACTCTCCTGCCGTTCCAGGTGGGGGTCAGCGCCGTGGGGGTCCCGGTGTGTGCCCTGCCAGGGGAGGCCGGCGCCTGCGGAGCGGGGAGCGGAGCGGCTGCCATCTGTCTGTGTGCTGCCAAGGTGAGATGGGCCCACTGGGGATTCCCAGATAAACTCTGCTGACCTGGATTGGAGCCGCTGAGCTGTGGAACAGGCTGCCCCTGCCCTGGGCGCCCCATCCCAGGAGCCGTCGGTCTGCGCCTCGGCTGCGCGCGGGTTAAAGCCCGGCAGCGGGGCTGGGAACTCCAGCGTTGGAGGGATGGCTCATAAAAAGCAGCAGCAAGGCTGCCCCACGCCTGGCATGACACAGCCTTTGAGCTGGAAAAGACCTACAAGGCAGCGCAGCCAGCCTCCTGGCCAGCAGGAGATCGCTTCTGAAAGGGCGTTTGGAGATTGGTTTGTACGGTCTGGTCACAACAGACTCAAGGAACTGGGTTTCCCCCACTTCCCCCAGGATGTTCTCGCCCTCCCCCCGGAGCTGGCGGCTGCGCAGCCCGAGTCAGAGCACAGCACAGCCTTCAATCACGTTTTCAGGCCACTGGCTCTCTCCTGGGCTAGCAGCAACCCTTCCCTGCCGTGTCGGCGGGGGCTGTGGAGGAGCTGGGCTGCTCCTCCAGCCCCTGGGCCCCCCTGGCCAGCGAGCAGCTACCGATGCGGCTGCGCTTTGACACAAAAGCCCCCCCATCTCCCCCAGTGTGTGGGTGTCTGGCCAGCGAGCAGCTACTGATGGGGCTGCGCTTTGACACAAAAGCCCCCCGTCTCCCCCAGTGTGTGGGTGTCCCCAGGCTGTGAGCAGCCCCATCTTATCCCCATCCACCTCTGGCCGTCGCCCCCGGTGCCAGGGGGCTGCTCTCACCTCCCCCCCATTGCTCGGGGGACCTTGGAGGCTCAGCTCATTTCTTTTTTCTTCCCCCCCCTGACTTTGTGAGTTCAGTGCTGTTGCAGTGTCGGGGGGATGCTGAAGCAGCCTTAGCGTGGGGCAGGGGCCAGCTGCCTCCACCTGAACCCGTTAACCCTTAAAGACTTTTGAAAAGCAGTTTTGATGCGTGTCTGGCTTGTGTGCAGGGTTGGAAGGGCTGTTTCTTTGCTCATGTCCTTGGTCCCTGCTGTTGAGGGTTCCTCGTTGCCGTTAGACGGGGGGTCAGAGGTGGCTCAGGTTGGTCAGCAGAAGGTTCCAGCTTCGGTATCTCTGTGTTTACCTAAAAGCAGAAGGATACCCAGCCTTCCCATGCAAAGTGCTTCCAGCACCATGTAGTGCCGGGTGTGTTTATTAGCCCAAACGAGCTCAGCCTCCTTAGCAAGAGGAAGAGCAGTTACCGTGTTTGCACCCATTTCAGCTCCTTCTGGTGCACCCGAAGCTCGAGCCGCCTCCGCTGCAGCCGCCTTGTGCTCAGCAACCCCTCGGTGGCTGGAGCTGGAGCTGCTGCTGCTCCCCTCGTCCCCGGGGTGCCCGGGTGCTGCTCAGCACACTGCAGCCCATGGGGATGACAGCGTTGTGTACGCCGCGCGGCGCCGAGGCTGCGGGGGGTTGGGGGGTGCTCCTTGTTTCCCCCGAACCGCCGCTTTGCTCCGCACTGACTCATTGCTTGTTTCCAGCCGCAGCCTGAGCAGCAGAGCTCCCACAGCGGGCGAGACAGAGCTGGGATCTGCTTTCACCTGGAGCGTGCCCACCCCTGCTGACCATTTCTCAGCTCTTTGCCTGCGGAATTTCTCCATGGTGACAAAAAGGTGAATTTCTGCGATATCTCCATGTACCAAATCAGAGCCTCGACTCAGATTGGCACAGCAAGAGCTTGCTTTGCTCCTGCTCCATCCCAGCCTGGGGAGAGCCAGAGCAGGTTCCACACTTCCCTTCCCCTCTCTCCTCTTCTCTCTCCCTCTCCAGACCTTAGTTTCCCACCAGGATCCGGGGGTGACACAGCCAAAACGTCACGCTGCCTTCCAGCTCCAGCACTGGAGTAGAAAGCGCCTGTTGCTGGAGGGTGTGGGCGCGTGGCCGGAGCGCTTCCAACTGGGAAGAGACAGCAGGACAGCTCCTGTGCCGTGCGGTTGTGTCAGCCTTCAGAGGGTTTCCCAGACGGAAAACCCGTGTCCTGGTTTGTGGTCGGAGTTCAGTGTGGGTTCTTCATTTATTTGCATGGAAAATGAGGACGTGGGGGTTTCTCAGCTGCGTTGTGAAACCAGTGTTTGGGGTGTGACTTTCTCTTGCTTGTGATTTATCCCCCAAGGAAAACCCCCTTCAGGAGGATGTTTCCCCGTGCGTTGCCTCCTGACCATCTGACGGCTCCCTCTGCTCTCAAGAGCTGACCGAGGCGTCTCGGCTTCCTTGGGAGCAGGAGAGCTGCAGAATGGTAGCCTCCCTCTGCTCAGCCAAGCTGCCGCTCACGTGGCGGCCCCCCATCCCGCAGCCGCTGCCACGACCGCGTTCCTGGGAAGTCCTTGAGGACTTTTCTTCCTCGCGTGCACCCTAAAAGCAAGATCTGCCTCGTTAGATTATAGCTGAAAAATCGCAGCCAGATGGTCAATCATCAGCTTGGGCAACCAAAGGAATGCAGATATTTTAGGTTCAAGGGTTTCCCATTATATAATGGAACAGACACCGGGGCGGCTGCGAAAGAGTTGGTTTCTTATTTCTTCAGTTTTACTAATGATGAAGGAATTGCTATTTTTTTTTTTTTTTTTTGCATGTTGCAGGTGTTTGAGATTGGCAGGTCCACCCTTAGAGGCTCGTTGGTGTTTTCGGGGAAAAGAGGGGCAGGTTTGAGTCTGTCCTCAGCCAGAGCTGCTCCGACAGACGCACCCCAGGCTGACCCCAGCCCTTGCTCCCCACGGGTCCTTGTGGGTGCGTTGTGTTCCCAGGGGATGTATCACACCAGGACTGGGGGGGGCTCTGCAAGGGGGCTTGGAGGAACCCAAAAGCTGCTGCCGAGCTCACAGCCTTCATCCGAGGAGCACCTCGGCACGTGGAATGGGAATGGGAGACTGTGGCTTCTCCCTCGGCCGCTGTGTTTAACCATCAGCTGATGGCTAAAATCTGGCAGTGGGGAGTGTGGGTCAGAGCTGAGCGTGAGGACGGTCTCTAACATAAAACCAGTGGGTTTGGAGTAGGAGAAGGAGCTTGAGGACAGGCAGGAACGCTGCAGCATCCAGCAGCCTGGGCGCCGCGTCTCGGGGCAGCTCCTCCTCAAGGCGCAGGAGCCGAGCGCTGGGATGGAGGAGGCTGAAAAGGAGCTGGAGAAGTTTGTGATGGAGGGAAGCGGTGGCCTGGGGCATCGAGGAGCTCTGGGCACCAGACCCTGCTGCTCTCGTGGTGGTTGTGGTCCTGGGGAGCTGCCCAAGGAGCATCTCCCTTGTAGCAGGCATGTCCAACCCCACCGCGGTGTCCCTGTGATCCCTGGTGTCCCAGCACACGGAGCAGGACCCTGCCCGAAGCGTGTGGTGCAGGTGCTGGTGACCCTGTGGGGCTGCAGAGCGGAGCGGGGCCGGGTTTAACTCACGCTTTGTGCCCTCCTGGCCCTGCAGGCCCCCAAGAACTCAAGATTCAGAAGCAGGCTGTGCATCTGGAATATTTCTGGCTCACTCGTCGGGCTGGTATCTAGACACCAGCCCAAAATAGCTCCTCACTGAGATGTGGCTCAGCCGTGGCTGGTGGCGACTCTCCTCCTGAAGTCCTGGGGGGGGTATGGAGACGTCTCCGCTGCCGGGGGGGCATCGGTGCTCTTTGCTCCCAGCCTTGCCCTGGCAGGGGAGGACACTGCGGCTGCAGAGGCAGCAAGGGCGGGGGGTGGCTCTTGGTGCAGAACCCCCCAGTTCAGCCTGTGCTCACCCCCAGCTCCCTGCTGTGGCCGGAGGCTCCGGCAGCATCTGATGTGTTGGGTTCAGTAACTTTGGCGGGGGGTGGAGGGGGGGGACGGATTGAGCTGCCCCCTCCCCCCCCCCCCCGCCCCCCCCCCGCCATCTCCTGCCAGGCCGCGGCTGCGGGGGACAGAGCAGGCGGGTGACGGTGATTGCTTTAATAAGATGAACTTGACCCCTCTTCAAACCAGGAGAGGGGACCCCGCATGGGGCTGGGTGTCCCCCCTGAGGAAGGCAGCCCCCCAAGGAGCACCCTGGCAGCACCCCGAGGTGCTCCCCCCCAGCACCACAAGTGGGGCAGAGCCGGCAGCCTGTCCTCGCCCACCCAGGCACCCTGGATCGTGTGTGTGGGCCCCGGTGTTTCTACAAGGGGCTGAATCCGGGTGTGGTTTTGTGCCACGACACCAGAATGGGTCCCTCCGGGGCTCTGCAGGGCGAGGGGCACCTCCAGCCCCACCGACTCTGGGGTGGGATGTTGCAGTCTCCATCATTTCTGCATCCCACCCTCATCCCTGGCTGGCAGAGAAGGGGGTTCTCCAGAGACCCTCCGTGGGCAGGGGGTGCTGGGCCTCTCCTGCTGCTGCCAGGGCTGAGGGGTTGGTGCTTCTGTGGTGTCCCCAGTCTGTGTTGTCCCCGGTCTGCGTTGTGCCCCATCTGTGGTGTCCCCCGTCTGCCACCGCCTTTACCATCAAAGGACCCCCCGAAGAGGGGGGCCGTGCTGCAGCCCCTCCCCAGCCCGGGCCCTTGTCCTCATCAGCCTCTGTCCTGCGGGCTGGGGCTGCAGGAGCCACGTGTGGCCCCGGAGCATCTCGGGGAGCTCGGAGCGTCCTCTCCCGCGCCCTGCGGTCCGGGCGAGCGTGGGCTGGGCTGGGGGCGCCCTCTGGTGGCGACCTGCGGGGCTGGAGCCTGGCCGTGCCACGGAGCGCGGGTTGTGCCCCCCAGCCCGGCTCTGCCTGTCGGTCCGGCTGTGCTGAGCCCCCACACCAGCGTCACCCGGCCCAGAGAAGGGCGACGGAGCTGGTGAGGGGTCTGGAGCACAAGTCTTGTGAGGAGAGGCTGAGGGAGCTGGGGTTATTCAGCCTGGAGAAGAGGAGGCTGAGGGGAGACCTTCTTGCTCTCTCCAACTCCCTGAAAGGAGGGTGTAGAGAGGTGGGGGTCGGTCTCTTCTCTCAAGTCACAGGCGACAGGACAAGAGGAAATGGCCTCAAGTTGCGCCAGGGGAGGTTCAGGCTGGATATTAGGAAATTTTTTCACCGAAAGGGTTCTCAGCCATTGGAATGGGCTGCCCAGGGAGGGGGTTGAGGCCCCATCCCTGGAGGTGTTCAAAAGACGGGTTGATGTAGTGCTGGGAGGTATGGGTTAGTGATGGTGTTGCTTTTTGTTTGTTGTGCGAGTGTCTATTTTTGTCAGTTAGGTTGACAGTTGGACAAGATGATCTTTGAGGTCCTTTCCAACCTAGAAGATTCTGTGACTGGTCCTGGGGGAGGATCCTCCTGCGTCCCTCTGGGAGTTGGGGGATCCATCCCTGGGTCTCCTTCTGCCGGCTTTTTCTCGCCCTACTGCAAAGCCAGGCCAGACCCCACACGGAGCTCACCCAGCCTGGGGTGTCCCTGGAGGGGACAGGGACCTGCCCCTGTGTCCCTGCAGCGGGGCAGAGAACTGCTCTTGTGTCCCAGAGATGGGCAAGGGACCAGCTACTGTGTTGGGACAGCGAGTGGTGCACATGGTGGGACAGGATGGGGCTGGGACAGGCACAGGACTGAGCATCTCTGTGGTGGGACCAGAGCAGCCACGTGTCCCCATGGCAGGGCAGGGTTGGAGGGAGCTCAGGAGCTGGGGGGGCACTCGCCGTGTCCATCATCTCTGTGTGATGGGACCCCAACTCACACATGAAGGTTGGGATATTCCCAACCCTTGGGGCCAGGCCAGGGTGGGGTGTGGGACATGGAGAGGGTTTTGGTGGGATGGAGGGTGCAGGGACTGGTGCCTCCTCGCAGATGGAATTCACGCCGTCCTTCCCCCCCCCCGGCACCAGTGAAAAGCAGAACCCCCATCGTTTTCCAACTCTTTATTGTAAATAAATTCTGCGACATTGCAGGAGCCTTCCCGGGGCCGGGGCCGAGCCAGGGCCACGCGGCGGCTCCGGCAGCGACGGTGACTCCCAGCGCGTGCAAAGCAGGAGCGCGAGACGGGGCGCAGGCGTCCGGGGTGGGGGGGCCTCCAAACCTTCCTCCCCCCAACCCAATTCCCCCAGCCACGACCTGGGGCCCGGTCCCGCTGTGGGCGGTAGCGCGGAGCGAGGCAGTGCGGGACGGCGCGGGACGGCGGTGCGGCTGGCGGGGAGTTGGCAGGGCAGGGGGGGTCTGTCACCGCCCCGGTGTGCTTGTCCCCCCCCCCGGCCATGTGCAGGGACGGGGCCCTTGGGGGGGCATCTCAGGGGGTGTTTTGCTCTCTTGGCTCTGGAAGCACTGGGTGCACCCCCCGTCCCGGCCGTGGGCCCTCCCCGGTGCGTCCGCGGCGGCACCGCTTGACCTTACAGCGTTAAAATCATTAAGAAAAAACCCCAATATTTATATATATATATATTAATGTCCCCAAACCCAGTGACAACGGTGGCTTCTTGCTCTGAAACAGGGGCGTCCCCTTGCCACGGGGATCGCCCTGGCACTGTGGCCGTGACAACTGTGGGGACATTGTGGTGACAGTGATAGAGATGGGGGGGGTGGTCCAGACCCCTCCCCGTGCCCATGGTGGCCCCAGGTCCCCCTGTCCCCCAGCCCATCACTGATACACCCACCACCTGGAGAACCACCCCCCAGAGCCAAGCCTGGGGACATCCAGTCACCCCATGTCACCTCCCAACACCCTGGCACGGGGGTGCCCTGTCCCACCTGGTGCCACCACAGCCAAGGCACCCAGCTGGGCTGTCACACAACGCTGGGGGCCACCGCACAGCTTGGGGACACCCTTGGTCACCCTGTGCCTCAGTGGTAAAGGGGCCTGGTGGCAGGCAGGGACACTGGGTGAGGGAGAACACAGAAGGGACACCCCCACACTGCCATCATCCCCCCCCTGAGTGTCACCAGGGGTGTCCCCTCTCCCGCCGACCCGTTGACGCTGAGTGTCACCAGTGGTTGAAGGAGCCAGTGTGGCCCCCAGTGCTCCGTGGTGCTGTGGGTTGGGTGGCCCTACAGAGCCACCCCATGCAGGGTGACGTGTGGCATGTGCCGTGGGGACAGGGTGACACATCCCACCCCCTGCCGTGGGGAGGGGGGACACCCGGTGGGTGCTGTGACCAGCCGGCCATGGGGCTGGGGTGACATGTGCCACCCACCGACCAGCCCCACGTGCCACCAGCCCAGGGCTCGCCCTGTACCCCAGCCCCCCAGGGTGGGCCCTGCTGTCACCTCCCCCCCCTTCCCCCCCCTAGTGCCACCAGTTTGGGGTTCACCTGCCCGTGCTGGGGGGGTGAAGGGGGCAGCCCCTGCCCCAGAGGGAGAGCCTGGGCACCTGTGGGTGCCTGTGCCCACCGCCGGGGACATCGGGGACCCCTGGCTGGGTGGGTGCAGCCCACATTTGGGGCGGACATAGCCCATATGGGGGGGGCTGCTTTGCTGTTTCGGGGGGGGGTACGTCTGGGGGTGCAGACCTGGCCCCCCCATGGACCCCACCGCAGAGCTGGAGTGGGGGGACACGACTCCCAGGCCCTGCGCTTTGAGTTGGGGGTCAGGGGGGGTTGCTGGCCTGGTACTGGGGTACACTGGCCTGCCCTTTGGGGGACCCAGGCCCCAAAGCTGGAAGATGCTGAGGGAGGGGGCAAAGGGGGGGAGATGGGGGGGGCCCAAAAGGGGGTCC